CTGTAATGTGCTCGGCCTGGTCCATTCCATTAAATTTCTGGGCCAAACTTGCGGTAGCCTTAAAAAAACTAGCCTGGCCCAAACTTTTGAACATGTACAGGCTGAACTCACGCAGCCCATAGACCTTCCCGGGCCCAACGACCGACTGAAAGCGTGTCTGTATAATCTCAAAAAAACAAAAAACAAAAACGCGTGTGCTTTCTTCTCCGCGTCCTACTGCATTCGGCGCATTCGTTTCACCGTTTTTTTTTCTCTGCTCGGCTGCTGACAGCCGCATTGTATATCGTGTTGTTGAGAGACAAGCGTCCTCTTAGCCTTCCTACCTGCCGCATTGTATATCGTATCGTCTTTTGTCCGCTCGGCTGCTCCCCCAGCTTTCCCCTCCATTGACCACGCTCGAACTGCTCGTGCCGGATCTGATGGAGGCCGCGATCGCATGGCTGGTGCAGACCATCCTTGCAACCCTCGTACTCGAGAAGCTGGATGCGTGGATTCGACGGGTTGGGCTAGCCGATGACGTTGAGAAGCTCAAGTCGGAGATCAGGATAGTCAAGATGGTGGTCTCTGCTGTGAAGAGCAGAGGGATCAGGAACGAGTCGCTGGATGAATCTCTCGCTCTTCTCAAGGAGCGGCTCTATGAAGCTGACGACGTGGTCGACGAGCTCGACTACTACAGGCTCCAGGAGCAAGTCCAATGAGGTACACCTACTGCCCGGCTGCCTGCCCCTGCAGATTCGAGCGTGCTAATTCACTCCAACTTTTCTGTCCAAGGAGGTACGCACTTTACTACCTGCATATTCAATACAATACAAGCGTATTATTCGTTTGAGATCCTATTTTGCTTAAGAAAATGAAATTTATATTATCTGATCAAGGGCGACCATAATTTAATTTCTGGTCCATGTTTCGGTCAGCCCGGAGGTATGCACGGAGTTGAGCGAGTTGAGACATCGAGGGGCGATGCTAGTGACAGTGTTGGCAAATTACGGTCCATGGTATGGGAACACTTTACCATCACAGAAAAAGATAACGGAAAGCCCGTCAAAGCAGTATGTACACACTGTAGCAATGAGTTCAAGTGCGATACAAAGACCAACGGGACGTCGTCTATGAGAAAACATTTGCAGAATGAGCATTCTGTGACTTGTACGAAGAAACCTCTTGGAGCACATCCACCAGACCCTTCATCAAGGTACCAAATTCTTTCTAAGCTTGGGGCCACTGTGATCTGCTTACAGATCGTTTACATGCATCTGCTTGGGGCCACTGTGATCCCAATTCATCCTTTTCTTGCAAAGCAGCAGTGCGCCTATTGTAATCGCCAGCTCATCCAGGAGAAAAGGAAAGAGACGACGGTCCATGGCATGGGAACATTTTGATGTCATGGAAGAAGAAAACGAGCAGCCTATGAAAGCAAGATGTAAATATTGTCCCACTCAGATCAAGTGCGGACCCAAGAGCGGGACAGCAGGTATGCTCAACCATTACAAGATCTGCAAGGACAAACCTGGACCAAATGAGCATCCGCCGAACCTATCAAGGTAGCTAAACAACAACATACCTTGCATCAAAACATTTTTTAAACCATTTAATTAAGACTCTTACTATGGTTCTAAAAGCCAATTAATTCATGATGCTTTTGTTATTGCAGCACTGGTGATGCTCATGCACATGTGATGCCAATCCTAATTGGCGACTCATCTACCGGAAAAGGTAGAGTGGATGAGTCCGCACGAATAATTGTGGATAACACAGTCTCCCCTTGGGACAAGGCCGAGTTATCCAACAAGATAAAAAGAATAGCTAGTCAGTTGCAATTCATCCGAGGGGAAGTGAGTGAGATTCCCAAGCTACATGGATCAGACTCTCCTTCATGTTCAGATCACCACCGGAGTACAACATCAGATCAGCACTTAAGAACATCAAGTCTTCTTCCAAGGAAAGTTTATGGAAGAGTTACAGAAAAGAGTTGCATCATGAAATTGATAATGACAGAAAACAGATCTGACAACGTAGTTGTTGTGCCTATTGTAGGCATTGCAGGTATTGGAAAGACAACTCTTGCTCAACTTGTGTACAATGATCCAAACGTGGAGCGTCAATTTCACCATAGGATATGGGTTTGGGTGTCTCACAACTTCGATGAAATGAGGATAACAAGGGGATGTTGAGCCTTGTTTCTCCAGAAAAACATGAAGGAATAGACTGCTTTGTGAAGCTTCAGGAGATCTTGAAAAGTCATGTCAAATCTAAGAGGGTTTTACTTATTTTGGATGACGTCTGGGAGGACAAGAACGATTGCCGATGGAACCAATTATTGGCTCCTTTTCAGGCTGAGAGTGCTAATGGCAATGTGATTCTTGTGACAACTAGAAATTTCTCTGTTGCAAAGATGATTGGAACAACGGGGCCAATTAAGTTAGGTGCTTTGGAAAATGATGACTTCTGGTTATTGTTCAAATCTTGTGCGTTTGGTGATGCAAACTATGAATGCCTTGGAAATCTTAGCACCATTGGACGACAAATAGCAGAGTTAAAGGGCAATGCGTTAGCAGCAATAACTGCAGGGGCACTATTAAGAGATCATCTTACTGTTGACCATTGGAGTAACGTTCTCAAGAAAGAAAGTTGGAAATCATTGGGACTCAGTGGGGGCATCATGCCTGCTTTGAAGATTAGCTATGATGAGCTACCATATAATTTACAACAATGTTTCTCATATTGTTCTATATTTCCTAACAAATATCAGTTTCTTGGTAAGGATTTGGTATATATTTGGATTTCTCAGGGATTTGTAAATTGCACTCATTTTAGCAAGAGATTGGAGGAGACGGGGTGTGAATATCTGAATAATTTGGTGAACCTGGGATTCTTTCAGCAAGTTGAGAAACAACAGGACGAAGATGGGCGTTTGGAAGAAGAATTTTCTCCAGGCTGTCAGATTTGGTATTCTATGTGTGGTCTCATGCACGATTTTGCGAGGATGGTTTCAAGGACTGAATGTGCAACTATAGATGGTCTACAGTGCAATAAAATGTTCCCAACCATACACCATTTGTCAATAGTAACCGGTTCAGCATACAACAAAGATTGGCACGGGAACATTCCTCGAAATGAGAAGTTCGAAGAAAATCTGAGAAATAAAGTTATATCAGTTAGCAAATTGAGAACAGTGGTTGTACTTGGGCACTTTGACTCTTTCTTTGTAGAATTGTTCCATGATATATTCTGTAAGGCACAAAATTTACGCCTGCTACAAGTATCTCCACCACCCACTTATCTGTTTCACGTGCCTGCAGCATCCACTGATTTTAATTCCTTCAGGTGCAGCTTGGCAAATCCTCTGCATGTTCATTATCTAAAACTTGAGTTGCATGGGACTGTACCACAAGTTTTGAGTACATTTTTTCATCTTCAAGTATTTGATGTTGGCTCAAACATGAATACTTCTCTACCCAATGGCTTGCATAATCTTGTTAGCCTGCGGCATCTTATTGCACAAAAGAGAGCCTATTCTTCCATTGCTAGCATTGGTAACATGACATCTATCCAGGAGCTACATGATTTTGAGGTCCGAATTTCTAGAGGCTTTGAGATTACACAACTCAAATCCATGAATGAGCTTGTTCAACTTGGAGTGTCTCACCTTGACAGTGTTAAAACCCAGGAGGAGGCTTATGAGGCAGGACTAAGAAACAAAGAACACTTAGAGGAGCTTCATTTGTCCTGGAATGATACATTTTCAGAGAACGAGTCTGTCAGTGACACTAGATCTGAATCTTCTGTAAACATGGCAAGAGAAGTGATTGAGGGTCTTGAACCACATATGGATTTAAAGCATCTACATATATCTGGGTATAATGGTACTACTTCACCAACTTGGCTTGCCAGGAATATCTCAGTTACCTCCTTGCAGACACTTCATCTTGATGGTTGTGGAGGATGGAAAATACTTCCTTCTTTGGAAAGTCTTCCATTTCTTACAAAACAAAAGTTGAGCAGCATGCGGGAGATAACAGAAGTATTGGTTCCTTCACTGGAGGAACTAGTTTTACTCAAGATGCCTAAGTTTGATCTATTTGAGAACAATAATAAATTCGAAATCAAGCAGAGGTCATGGTTGCCTTCTCTTAGAAAATTAATTCTGTGTGATTGCCCTCAATTGAAAGTGTTGAAGTCCCTTCCGCCTTCAACAATCTGTTCTGAGTTACTCATCAGTGGAGTTTCCATGCTTCCAGATATGGCGGGATCATCCAGCGGAAATTTAAGTATTGATTATGGTAATCAGTATATAGACGATGATATTGATGAATATTCTGATGTGTTGAGGATACTGGATGGAAAGTTTTTGGCATTCCATAATCTTGGAAACCTCAAATCGATGAACATATGTGGTGCGACAAACCTGAGGTCTTTTTCGTTCCAAGGTTTTAGCCATCTCATCTCTTTAAGGAGTTTGGAAATAAAAGAGTGCGAAATACTTTTCTCTTCAGATGTGACGCAGCCTACCCTTGAAGATATGACAACCTTCCCTTCACTTGGAAGTCTCACTATTGAGTCATGTGGAATAGCAGGGAAGCAGCTATCTCTGATGTTGCAACATGCATCGAATCTAGAGGAATTGGATTTAAATTCACTAGAAGCACTGACGGAGGACTCGTCATCAGCAAGAAAGGAAGACTTTTACATTCCATTAAAGCTCGCCTCCTCTCTCAAGAAGATAACCATGGAGTCCTGCCCTGGTCTAACATTTATTAACTGGAGCTGGAGCGGCGGAGGCTTGTCTGGATTCGCCTTCCTTGAGAAGCTAACTATTTGGAAATGCCCCGACCTGCTCTGGTCTTTGGTGCACAAAGACGGAAGTGATGAGGGGGTGAACGGGAGATGGCTCCTCCCGCCATCACTTGAAGAACTTGAAATCAATGACTATTATTCCCTCGGAACACTGCAACCCTGCTTTCCTAGAGATAGCACCAGCCTTAAAAAGTTTGTGGTAGAGTGGGGTCATGATTTGCATACTATACAGCTGCACTCATGCACGGCGCTAGAACAATTGGAGATTAAATGGTGTGTGTCCCTCACAGCACTAGAGGGCTTGCACTAGAGGGCTTGCAGTTCCCTGGTTTGGCGAACGGAAGATGGCTCCTCCCAACATCACTTCGCCAACTTGAAATCAATGATAGCCATTCCCAACAAACCCTGCAACCTTGCTTTCCAACAGATAGCACCAGCCTTGAAAGTTTAGAGGTACGGAAGAGCCCAGATTTGCAATCTATACAGTTGCACTCTTGCACAGCACTGGAAGAATTGACGATTGGGGATTGTGGATCGCTTACTGCACTAGAGGGGTTGCAATGCCTTGGCAGACTCAGGCATTTGTATGTATCAGATTGCCCTGGCTTGCCACCATTTCTGGGGAGCTTTTCAAGGCCGGACTGTGGGATCTGCCCCCGGCTGGAAAGGCTTGAGATCGATGAACCATCTGTCCTTACCACATCATTCTGCAAGCACCTCACCTCCCTGCAAAGCCTACAACTTTATCGTTTTGAGAAAGTGAGTAGACTAACAGATGAGCAAGAGCGAGCGCTTGTGCTCCTCAAGTCCCTGAAAGAGCTCCGATTTTTCTTTTGTTATGATCTCGTAGACCTTCCTGCGCGTCTGCGCGACCTTCCTTCCCTCCAGAGATTGAAGATAAAGTGGTGTGGGGGCATCTCGAGGCTGCCCGTCACAGGCCTCCCACTTTCGCTGGAACAACTGGAAATCTATGATTGCAGCAAGGAGCTAACTGATGAATGCAGGCTGCTACCACCGAGCAAGCTAAATGTCAAAATTGATTGATGTGTTTGAATTGATTACTCGAGGCCATGTTAAGCAGTATTTTTACACACACATCATATATATAGCTGGGTTGCTTTTGAGGCAATCTTGTGCGATATATCCTCAGACCTGACATACCCTCATAAATGTGCGGTGTGCTCATTGCAGAACGAGCTGTCTCTGCAGGCACTCAAGCTGCAAATCATATATCATGTAACAGGTGAACCGGCATGTTGTGCTGTTTGTTATTCATCTCGTATTGTCAACTAGAAAAGATGATTACTAGAAAAGAGAGAACCACATTGGAATAAACCGGAAGATTTGTTATGTTGTTCGTTACAAAAGTTAGTTTAGTCCGGAATTTCCTTGCTACGCCATCCACATGTGCTCTGCAGCTGCAATAATGAACTTTAGAGATCAGCATTCTAGCACTCGCCTTATACGATAAGAATATGTTGGGGGTACTCTTAATTACATAAATGTTCTTATTATCGGTTAGAAGTCAGCAACCTGGTGTGCCGGCGCTGATTACTAGTTTCCATTGTTCTGATATCCTGATATGTGTGATGCAGACATAACGACATGTGTGCGTGTGCGTGCTATCTATCCTGGTACATCCTAACAAGTTAATTTCTTCGCTTTTTTTTTGCCTTTGTGATACTTCAACTATCAAACTGTTCTTGTATCTTCACACAATTTTCTCCTGGTTTGGAATCACTGTGTCAGTGGTTTTTGCTTTGCGGACTTGTGGTGGTTGTTTTCTTCAAGCTTAGCCTGAAGCTTGCTGGAGCTGAGGTTATGAATGTGCAACGTAAATAAATTTGTTATCAAATATAAGCCCAGGATTAGTTACCCGAGTGAACGATTAGATCAGAGAAGAAGAAGCATCAACTCATCGCTTCAATTCATGGAGACGAAACTTATCACCTCATCTCACACCAGCATTGAAACTGCATCAATCAATTCGACCATTAAGCAATTGCCCAACATTAGTGAGAAACACAAACAATCTAATTTCCTGGAAATTGCAACAGCTAGGCTGCACCATTTTTTCCAAGAAAAAAAGCTCACCTGCACGGCTGCACCGGGTACTGACATTCCGACAGTTATAATCAAGAAAAGCCTATAGCAACAAGAAATTATCAAGTTACAGGATAGTAACGGGCCAGTTTAAGCTTGACGTATCTCATAATAATATAGTTAGACACTTCTGAAATCAAAGGTGAGTATAATCTTACAAAGTCGAGAAACACTACAGGGATGGAAATTCGCATTCACTCACCCTTGCATGGCTACTGACATTATATCAAGCATATGCCATTCTCATATCCCATATAAGTACATCACAAGACAAAGATGATAGCCATAATTTCAATATTTTCTTACTCCAATGCCATACTTAGGTCGCCCATAAGCATATATAAAATCACGTACAGAATAGATGTGCTAGACAAAACACATCAATACAAAAGCCACCTTCAGATCAGAAGGCCAGATGAACCACTTTTCACTTATATAGATATAGTTGAGCTGAGCTATGAGATTACCCACAAAGCAATCCATCCACTAGGAACTAGGTTAACTAAATTCAAGCCGACGTGCACATCCCATAAATAAGTACTCACATCCTCCACCTACTCAAATCCTACTGTTATCACCGCATCTCACGCAAGCATTGCAGCTGCATTGATCATTTCGACCATGTAAGCACTTGATGAGCCGTAGCAATCCCTGCAAAGAAAAGAAGAACATTCCCAAGGGGTAATATTTGTTTACAGGGGAGTATTTGAGATGTGAAAAAAACTCAGATATTTGCAGCACCACACCAAACACGTTTTACTGGCACTCCAGTTATATGTTAGGAAAAGCTAACAGAGACAGGAGGTTCTCTTACCCAGTAATAGCAGGGCTGTTATTAATAAATACAGACACTAACTGAAATCAAGGGGTATAATTTTGGAAAAGGCGAGCAGCATCACTGGGGCAAGAGTGCCAATCAACTCAGGTTTGTATGGCTACTAAATTTTTTATCATTCATATACCTCCAAGAACAGATTAAACCATTCATTCTCATATCTATATATGTCACCAGACAAAGATGATAACCAGGACTTCAACATTTTCTTACTCCAATGCAATAGTTATGTCGCTTATAAGCATATATAAAACTAGGACACAATAGATGTGCTAGAGAAAACACATCAATACAAAAGCCACCATCAGATCAGCAGGCCAGATGAACTACCAAATGCCTCAGTACCCTCCACTTTTCACTTATATATAGACATAGTCGAGCTGAGCTATGAGATTACCCACAAAGCCAGCCATCCACTAGGAACTAAGTTAACTAAATGCAAGCCAACATGCACATCCCAGAAATAAGTACTCACATCATCCACCTACTCAAATCCTACTATTAGAACGACCTCCTCTACACCAGAGAACGAGCATCGCCAGCTTCTGAGGCGCTGTCCCCTGAGCTCCCTGACCCTGAACCTTTAAACAGAGTCAAATGGGAAACATTGCAGGAAGTTTAATTTTTTTTTTAAAAGGGGGGACTCCCCGGCCTCTGCATCAGAACGATGCATACGGCCAACTTTATTAAAAAGCAAATAGGTCCAACAAAGGTCTTAAAGTCATAACAAAAGTAAAGAAAAGCTCACATAGAGCATATAAAAAAAGTAACCATAGCGCCACAACCGGCCGGCATAAACAAGATAAGGAAACTAATTTCCTATCTTATTACATGACCGCCATCCAAACCGGTTGAAAATATCCCGTGCTACCATCTTCCACCGGATAGATCCAGTAACCAAACGCTCCCTGGCCTCCGTCGGAGTGAGTAGCGACCACATACGGATCAATGCAGTGGCTCGGAAGATAACCTGCAAAAAATGAAAAATTGTTGTTCTATTAAAAAACCAAGTCATTTTTGCAGTTCCAGACTGCCCACAATAAAGCACATACTCCTACGCGAATGTGTCTCGCTGTTTCGGCCTCTATCCCGTTAAGCCACGTTCCAAATAACGTGCTGACAGAATTCGGAGGAGTAATATTAAAGGCTATGTGCACTGCCCGCCATAGCACTTTTGCCAGCGGGCAGTCAAGAAAAAGGTGTTTGATAGTTTCATTCCGATCACAAAAACTACACCTAGTAGGTCATGTCCAGTTACGCTTTGCCAGATTGTCTTTGGTTAAGATGACTTGTTTATGTACAAACCACATAAAGACTTTAATTTTCAAAGGAATTTTGACTTTCCAAACATGTTTGGAACTAGGAATGGAGCTAGAGTTGATAACATTGAGATACATCGATTTAACTGTAAATTCCCCAGTCCTAGTAAGCTTCCAGCGCAACTGATCGGGTTGTTGAGACAGCTAGACCTCTATCAGTCTATGCACTAAATGGAGCCAAGCTTCCCAACGATTACTGGCTAGCGTTCTCCTGAATTGAATATTGAGGGGGATGGACTTACATACTGTTGCAACAGACGCTTCGCGTCGTTGAACAATACTATAAAGAGTCAGGTATTGAAGCGCGAGGGGTGTCTCTCCTAGCCAAGTATCCTCCCAGAAACGCGTGTTGGTGCCATTTCCGATTATAAACTTTGTCCTATTGAAAAAGGCTGATTTGACTCTCATCAACCCTTTCCAGAAAGGCGAATCCGTCGGCCTTGCTGCCACTTGGGACAAAGTTTTGGAGTGAAGATACTTACTACGGAGAATTTGCGCCCAGGTGGCCTCTGTCTCTACAGATAACTTAGACAGCCACTTGCTGAGAAGACATCTGTTTTTGACTTCAAAATTTTCAATGCCAAGACCCTCTTGGTTTTTTGGTCTACAAGTAATATCCCATTTGACGAATCTGTATTTTCTTTTTAGTTCATCACTTTGCCAAAAGAAACGGAATCAATAGAAGTCCAGCTTTTTTCCAACTCCAACTGGAATCTCAAAAAAAGACAAAAGAAACATAGGCATACTTACATGAAGAATAAATGATGTTTCACAAAAAGGGAAAGAATAAACACTGAGTTGGACAGTAGTACGACTGGATGATGAAGAACCACTGCCTGGACCCGAACCAGCAGAGACACCCGTGGCCGTGGCCTCAGTGCCCTTCTCTGTCTCCACTGATTGGCATCTCATCCTCAGTATCTACATACTCATCCACCTGCTCCGCCGCTAATACATCCGTCCCGCTCTCCTGTAAATATCAAAACAGAACACAACAAACATGAGAGCCCAATTTGCATATGCACTAACTGAAAACGGGAACAACACTTGTTGTTTCCTATCAGCATTGTCAACGAATGTAGACACAGCACCATTCGCAGCCTCAGCGCGGTAGCACCGTCGTAGACCATGGCAATGTCCTTCTGCGGTACGGATCTGGCCGCAGCGCTTCCTCGTAGCTGCCCGGAGCTTCGCCGGTGGCGGGGGCAGGTCCTCCTTCAGCTGGCCCTGCTGATGCTCCTGATGCCATGAATCGACGCGGGAGAGGAGGGCGCAGAACTGGCCGATCCGGGTCCCTGGAGCGCACTGGAACCGCGGTGGCCAGCCTCGCCGGCCGGAGGACGAGGCATCCGGCCGACGGCGAGACCAGACAGAAGCTTTCCCAATTTTATGTTTTTTTAGGGAACAGAGCCTCTCCCAGATTTTTATTTTTTTGAGAAAAAGGAGCCTCTCCCAGATGTAACAAATATACACTGCAAAATTTAGAAGGAGCTTCAAATATCAGGAGCTTTTATTCACATGTACACCAAATTCAGTTGTACAATAAAAAGCTCCACAATGTGCTTCAACTATCCTATCTTGACTCGAGGAGAAAATTCAGAAGAAAAATAAGAAAGCATCAACAATACTAAGCTACTTGACTTGAGTTCCTGATTATTTGGTCTAGTTGAGTGAAACAAATTGCACGGACATTTCTACAAAGCACTGAATCTTCATCTACAGAGGCATGCACAACAACAGATTTTTTGGTTCTTCTGTCTTCCTTTTGCCATCATGCTGATCATCTTCTTTTTGGTTCTTCTATGCTCTGTCAATGAATAAGAGAATAACTTCAGCACAAGCATATCCAGAAGAATAAAGGATGCAAATGGACAGAGCACATAGTTATGTGCTTGTGTTGCAACCAGCAGATGAGCCGTCATGCTCTGAACCTGAAGTTATTTGCCAAGATGCAGCTAGCAGGTCAATGTAGAGTAGTTAGGCCACAACCGGTGGAGCCAAGCTGAGGAGGGTGGCCATGGAAGGAGATCAACACACCGGCGCGCGAGAAGCTTGGCCGTAGCCAAGGGGCGCGTGCAGCCCGTGTAGTGTGCCGACGTCGGTGGGAGTGGAGGCGTCCAGGAGCATCGCTGTGCCCGGCGGGAGGAAGTAGCTGGGGCGGTGCCGCGAGTTGGGCCGCCGGCGGGGATGGAGTGTGCCGATCTGGGGTGGTGTGCTTGGCGTCGAGGAGCACGCCGGCGGCGATGTTGCGAGCAGCAGGGGCGTAGCACACCGGCGGCTGGAATTTGGGGCCGTCGAGATGGAATCAGGATTTGCGGACAGGGAAGTGGGGGGAACGAGACGGGGCTGCTGCTTTGAGATTCGTGCTGTGTAAATCGGACGGTATGAAAAGCGTTCGGGCTGGAAGTCTTCAAGTACCTGACGTCAGGTAGTTATCATTTGTCTAAATGTGTTTGTGCAATTGTAGTCTTGGTGATATGTGCAACGCGAGTGCATGAGAAATAATTTCCGAGACGAGTAAGAAATGGCATCTCCGAAAGAATAATCTTTTGTTTTTAGCGAGAATACATACACACAAAAGAATAATGTAAGAAGGGACATGACCGCACTTCGTTTTGGTTGCTCTGTTTTTCTTCCACCAACGACCGCTTGTGCTTACGTACGCGGATGATCACGACAGGGCGAGCTCAGAGCTCTCTAACATTCCGGGAAACCGAAATGTGGCTAGTTCGGTTCTTCCGGTTACGGTTTTTCTCGTCCTTACATAATCCAACCTTTTCCTCGCAGCTCAAAGCCCAGCACACACAACACACGCGAGACGCGCAATGGATTCCCTCGCCTCCTTGATGGACCTAGCGGCCTTGATTTCCCATGCCTGCCGCGACGCGGAGATGCTGCCGGGCGCACTGATCAGAGATTAGTTACCCGAGTGCACGATTAGATCAGAGAAGAACAAGCATCAACTCATTGTTTCAATTCGTGGAGAAGAAACTTATCACGTCATCTCACACCAGCACTGAAACTGCATCAATCATTTCGGCCATTAAGCAATTGCTCAACATTAGCAAGGAAAAAATGTGTTAACAGTGACAAACATAAGCAACCTAATTTCCCAGAAATTGCAACAGCTAGCCTGCACCTTTTTTCCAAAAGAAGCTCACCTGCACCAGGTACTGACATTCCCGCAGTTATAATCAAGAAATGCCTATAGCAACAGGAAATTATAAAGTTACAGGATAATAAATATGCCAGTTTAAGCTTGACATATCTGATAATAATATAGTTAGACAACTGTTGAAACCAAAGGTGGGTATAATCTTAGAAAGTCGAGCAGCACTACAAGGATGGAAATTCGCATTCAACTCATGTTTGCATGGCTACTGAAATTTATATCATACATATGCCATTCTCATGTCCATATACATCACAAGACAAAGAGGATAGCCATGATTTCAATATTTTCTTACTCCCATGCCATAGTTACGTCGCCCATAAGCATATATAAAACCAGTACACAATAGATGTGCTAGAGAAAACACATCAATACAAAAGCCACCTTCAGATCAGAAGGCCGGATGAACTAGACCATGCCTCATTAGCCTCCACTTTTCACTTATATAGACATAGTCGAGCTGAGCTATCAGATTACCCACAAAGCCAGCCATCCACTAGGAACCAAGTTAACTAAATCCAAGCCGACATGAACATCCTGGAAATAAGTAATCACATCATCCACCTACTCAAATCCACTGTTAAAACAACCTCCTCTACACCAGAGAACGAGCATTGCCAGCTTCTGAGGTGCTGCCCCCTGGGCTCCCTGACTCTGATCCTGTAAACAGAGTCAAATGCAATACATTGTAGGAAGTTTAATTCATTTTTTTTTTTTTTGGAAAAGGGGATGTACCCCAGCCTCTGCATCAGAAAGATGCAAGGAAGTTTAATTCATGAAGATTAAAAACGATGTTTCTCAAAAAGGGAAAGAATAAACATTTGGTTCAGCAGTACCACTGGATGATGAAGAACCACCACCCGAACCACCAGAGACAATCATGGCCTCAGCACCCTTTTCGATCTCCACTGATTGGTAAGTTGCGGTTGGCATCTCATCATCAATATTTACACACTCATCCACCTGCTCAGACACTAGTGTTCTCAGGATTCTCGCTCTCCTGTAAATAACAAAACAAGCAACACCCGTGAGAGTCCAATTTGCATACCCACTAACTGCAAACAAGAACAGCACATGTTGTTTCCTCTATGGCCATTACCACATCAGCATTGTCAACCAATGTAGGCACAGCACCATTCACAGCTTCAGCTCCAACAGCATCGTTGACCTCAGCAATGTCCACATTCATCATCACGGCTCGTCGGCTCCTTTGAGCGCCTTGTTGAACATTTCGACCATGTAAGTAGCAATCCCTGCAAAGAAAAGAAGAACATTCGCAATGGGCAAATTTGCCGCACTGGCAAACACAAGCTGTAACTCAGAAATATTTGAATGTAAAATTAACTCAGAAATTCGCACCAGCACACCAAACACGTTTTACTGGCACTTCAATTAAATGTTGGGAAAAGCTTACAGCAACAGGAAGTTCTCTTACCCAGTAATAACAAGCCAGTTAAAAATAATACATACTCTAACTGAAATCAAGGGTATAATTTCAGAAGAGGCAAGAAGCGTCACCAGGACAAAAGAGTCCCAATCAACTCAGGTTTGCTGGTACTGAAATTTTTATCGCTCATATACCTTTGAGAAAGATTAAACCATTCTCATATCAATATAAGTCACCAGACAAAGATGGAAACCATGATTTCAACATTTTCTTACTCTGATGCGATAGTTATGTCGCCCATAAGCATTAGTACACAACAGATGTGCTAGAGAAAACACATCAATACAAAAGCCACCTTCAGATAGAAGGCCAGATGAACTACAACATGACTAGGTACCCTCCACTTTTCACTTCTATAGACATAGTCGAGCTGAGCTATCAGATTACCCACAAAGCCAGCCATTCACTAGGAACTAAGTTAACTAAATCCAAGCAGACATGAACATCCCAGAAATAAGTACTCACATCCTCCACCTACTCAAATCCTACTGTTAGAACAACCTCCTCTAAACAAGAGAACGAGCATCGCCAGCTTCTGAGGCGCTGTCCCCTGAGCTCCCTGACCCTGAACCTGTAAAGAAAATTGAATGGGAAACATTGTAGGAAGTTTAATTCATGAGAATAAACGATGTTTCTCAAAAAGGAAAATAATAAACAGTAGGTTCGACAGTACCACTGGATGATGAAGAACCACTTCCCGAACCACCAGAGACACTCGTGGCCTCAGCGCCCTTCTCGATCTCCACTGATTGGTAAGTTGCGGTTGGCATCTCGTCATCAATATCTACATACTCATCCACCTGCTCAGGCACTACAGTGTTCTCAGGATTCTCGCTCTCCTGTAAATAACAAAACAAACAACACCCGTGAGAGTCCAATTTGCATATCCACTAACTGCAAACAAGAACAACACATGATGTTTCCTCTACGGCCATTACCACATCAGCATGGTCAACCAAAATAGGCACAGCACCATTCACAGCTCCAGCTCCATCAGCATTGTTGACATCAGCAATGCCCCCATTTATCATTGCAGCTCGTCGGCTCTTTTTGAGCGCCTTGTTGAAGTTGTTGACAAATCGATCAAGCTCCCACTGCGTCTCGATGTCCATTTCATCGATATCCAGCTCAATCTCATCCCCAAGCAGCTCCGGGTTATTGACATTCCTCTTGCGCACAATCTGCAGCACATTATGCATCTTCTCTTCAGGTAAGCTCTCCAGCCCCGCCCTAAGCATGTTCTTCTCCTCCAAGCTCATCTGCCTCTTGTTCAGCTCCCTCGCCTTGGGTTTCGGCATCCTCACCGCCCTCGGCTTGACCTGTGCTGGGAGTGGGACCACCGGAGGTGGCAGTTCCGCTGGAACTGGCAATGGCACTGGCACCGGCACCAGTGATGGAAGGCGTCTGCATTCCTCCTCGAACCAAGAGACGGCCGCAGCGTACATCTTCTCGAACGAGGCGAGGAGGTCGCCGGCGAAGGTGTGGACGGTGTGGCCGGCCGGGTTGTACCGCAGCGCGTTGGCGAAGGTGAGGCGGACGTCGGCGGCGAAGGCGTCGTGCGAGGGGTAGTTCCTGGCGGCGAGGTTGGCCTTGACGGTGCCGAGGTCCATGGGGCTCTTGATGACGGCGTGGTAGTCGTGGAGGCCGAGGGTCTCGACCTCGACGGGCGCGTTGAACCAGATGCTCCGCTTGTCCTTGCGCAGCTTGGACAGGATCTGCGCGCACCGCTTCCGCATCGCCGCCCGCAGCTTCGACGGGGGCGCGGGGAGGCCGCCCTCCCTCGGCTGGCCCCGCCGCGGCTGCCGGTGCTGCTGCTCGAGCTCCAGCTCCTGCTGCCACGCGTCGATGCGGGAGAGGAGGGCGCGGACCTGGCCGAGCTCGCCCGCGAGGCGGTCCCGGAGCGCGCCGGCCTCGCGGTGCGTGAGCCCCGACGGCCGGAACGTGACGTAGCCGACCCCCGGCGAGGCCAGCGGGTGCTGCGCCCTCGAGCCGTCGGCGGGCGGGAGGGCGCGGTGGCCGGGGTTAGGGCTCGGCGCGGGCGCGAGCGGGCCGCGATTGTCCCCCCAGTGGTGGCTCTGCGCGCGGCGGCCGGCGATGAGCGCGGAGGCCATGGCCGCCGGTGCCGGGATCGGTGGTGGGCTCTGCCAGTTGGATCCGGTCCCCGTCCCCGTCCCCGTCCCCGAGAGCGCACGGCAGCCGAGGAGGGGGGGGGGAGATTTTTTTTCCGCTGCGCGGCTGGTGGATCCGCCCGGCGGTGGGGAAGGAAGGAGGCATCCACGCCGTCAGTTGCCTGCTGGACGGCCCAGATCCGGCCCGAGGCGGGGGAACGGAGGGAGAGGGTGGACGGCGGGGATCTCTGACACGTGGGGCCCGCGGGGCCGGGCTGGCAGCGGGTGGACCGGAACGCGGGCCTCCGCGGGAACTTTGACTTGCACGGCTCGCTCTCTCATCATGGCGCGAACCAATTGCTTCGGCGCCTCCTACGTACACGAATCCAGTGATGAAGCAAATTTACCTTTGCATTCGTTTTTTTAGATAGATTCTTTACCTCGCATTGTTTCCGGGCCAACGTACAGGCATTTGAAGTTTGGGATGCTGCATTTTACTGCGTCCTGTTACGGGAGGGCAAAGGCAGCAAATGCGTATGGGGGCCCTGCCATGCGTCCCCCCATGTTGGATTGCTTTCGAATCTATGCCTGCCTTTATATGCGAGGCCAAAGCGAGGGAGGGAGCGAGCGACGTTACGTTTGGGGGGAGCCACCATGTGCCCCAGCCCAGCCCCGCCCCGTGTTGTGTGGCAGAAAAGCATGATCTGATCCGCGGAGTGCTTTGTGGTCTTGAATGCCGGCCTGGCTGTGGGCTGTGGGCGCTTTCCTTTTGCTTGTAGGACGATAGAACCCACGCGATCCGTGCGGACTGTGCGTGGTCTCTTTTGTGGTTGCGGCATTCACGGACGAGGTAATAGCACCCTAGGTACCCTAACTTGCACAGAACGTGACGATTTAGTCCTAAATTTGTAAAATTTGACTCCATCATATCCTAACTTGTACCTCATGTGATAATTTAGTCCCAGGCCAATCACAGCTCGACAATCGGCGGCCAAGTGGCTGGACCGGTCGGCGCACGCACTTTTACACAAAACCCCCTGCCGTTTCCTTTAATCAACCCGCACTCACCTCCACCTGAATTTGCCGTGACATCCACATGACAACGGCTAGCTCCCGTGACTCCGCTCCCCCACCCCACCAGTCCCCACCGGCGGCGGCCACCCCGGCCCCGTCGGCCCCCCTCTCGGCACCGCGCGTCCCACGTCGCTCACCACCGCAGCCCCCCGCTTGCAGGTTCACAGTGGAGAATGGGGGTCGTCGACGCGCGCACACCCGCATGGCTGCGACGGCGGCCGACCCGCTGCTCGCCGCCCCGGCTCCCCCTGTCGGCGCTGGCTCCATTCAGCATCTGAAGCCCCCGGCAATGAGCCCCTCGGGCCTCCCATCGCTACTCCCAGCCATGGCAGATCTGGCCCCCGCCTCCCCGCTGCATCTGCCGCCTCCGACGGGCCAGATCCCCTTGCCTGGCGTTGAGGTCGAGGATGGGGAGTTCGCTGCGCCGTCGCCACCGGCGGGCCTTGTCTCCGGAGATGCGTTGCTTCAGCCTGTTGTCGTGGTGGGTGATGAACCGACCCTGCAGTCGCCTCCACCCGTCTCCAGCCGCAGCGGAGACGTTGTCGAGGAACTGACGCAGCAACCGCCTCCTCCCGTCGCACAAGAGCCCAAAGTTGGTGCGGCTCCCCAGCCTTCAGATCTGTCAGCTCGTGGCGCTGGCAATGTCTGCTCCACAGAGCATGCGTCGCAGTCGCCCACGGCTGCTGTGGAGGGCTCCTGCCATGGTGTTGCTCGCGTCTCGTCGAGCTGTCCCGCGTTGCTTCCAGGTAGGCGTAGAGTGCTCCAGCGGCGACGTCGGCGGCAGCACGGAAGAAGAAGAGTTGTGGGCAAGCGTCGACGGGAAGCGCGCGGTGCAGGCGCGGCGGCCGCGGCTGAACTTTAGGGGGAACCAGACCGTGTTCGTGGACGGAGCGCCGGTGGACGTCATGTGGGACCTGCACGGCTGGTGGTTCCGAGAGCCTCCGTACGGCAGCGCCGTGGTCATGCTTCGGGCGCGCAGCGCGCTGGAGAGCCGGCTGTGGCTAGAGGAGGAGGAGGTCGCCACCGGCGCGCCGGGGTTCTCGCTCGTCCTCCAGGCCTTCAAGTCCCGCGCTGATGGACTATCATGTGCCCCTGCCCATTGATCATACATGTAGCTACTCTATTCAACTGAGAAGACGGCGAACTTCATGGAGTTAAGCAAACTGCCTGTTTCACTGAAGTCGAAGGGATCAGTAAGTTTACAAGCAACATGATCATGAACATAACAGGTGATATACATTGATGTGAGTGTGTAGTGTAGGCAAATTTCATCTCCCTTGCTAGTTGATTTTACTCTTCTCCGAATCATAACTTGTGATGTGTGCAAGTACAGAAAAGCAAAAAAAAGTGTGCAGTAGTTTGGATCCTTCTGTGTTGAATGGTGAAATCATACTTTAGATCCTTCTGTGTTGAAAGATGAAATCTTACTTTGGATCCTTTTGGAATATTATAAATTAGAGAAATTTACATGCTTTCTCATTCCATTCGCGAGGAGCTGGATGAGAAGAAACTCTCATGTCCAGTTTTGCAGTTCTGTGTTGAATGATGAGGTGGTGTAGATATGGGGGGCAATAGTTTCTGCTTGTTGCCACTTACCTTCACTACTGACTGTTCTTATGTAAATACACCAATAACAGTGGTACAGTTACAAGTGATTGTTGCAGCATAAATAATCTATCAACAGGTAATAGTAGATGTAATTCTACTAACGCTGAGGGGTATTATCAGCCTACTGTTTGATGGCCATTGACATTCACATGTTATCCTGGTGAGACCAGTCATGAAATTTTAGTTACCAAAAGAAAAGAAAAAATGGATACATGATGCTTCACTAGACATACACTGTCTTCCCAGTCCCAAATATATGCAAACAGTTGATGTTCGGGAAGAAATTGTGCATGCCTGTCTGAGTACTCGAGTGTGATAAACAGTCAACTGCTTGAGTGTGATCAACAAATAATGTGGTGCTTTAAGAAAAAACCTGAATGAATTCTCATATTTACATAAACTCTCTGTAAAACTAACATATAACAGCCATCCTTGCACACATGAAAATGTTTCTGATTCTACAGGTCTGCTAAGACTGCAGGAGAAAACGTCAGAGCAAAAAGAGGTAGATTCAACATCAAAATAGTAGTGAGTAGTTGATTTCCAAATACCTGGTAAAATAAGTCAGTGTCACATTTTCTCCATTTGGCTCGTGTTTTTTTGTCCATATAGGAATGGTAATTCAGTTTAGTAGCATTTTCTAGCGCATGATTCTTTGTTCTGTCATTGTCATAGTTATCTCCAAAAGGATCAAAATCATCAGTATCTCCAAAACGGGAGCTTCCGTGAAAAGACATCAACAAATAACAGGACAGGGGAAAGTCAGCGAGATCATGATTAAAGCAGCATACCAACTCATCAAATTTAAGCATACAAATTTAGATGCTGAAACAAACAACTGCAGCAGCAACGCCAAGTTCAGATACCCTATCTGAAAAAGTGAAATATCTACATGATAAAATAGAAAGTTTGCAAATCAAACTGTAGCATTGCTGTCAATGGCTGGTTAATTACATAAAACAACAGGGTGTTTCTTGCAAAAGTGTGTGCGCTGACCGGTGCAGCCACCTGGCTGCCAATTGTCGAGCTGTGATTGGCCTGGGACTAAATCATCACATGAGGTGCAAATTGGGGTATGGTGGAGTCAAGTTTTGCAAGTTTGGGACTAAATCATCACATTCTGTGCAAGTTAGAGTACCTGGGGTGCTATTACCTCTTCACGAACCGTCACCGTGCGTGACGGATTGTGGCACCTTTTTTTTTGAAGCAAATTGTGGCACCTTGAAAGGTGGGCGCGGCTAGTGTGACGTCGTGGAACTTTTTGGCGTCGCTGGCTGCTGACTGCGGCTGCGGGGCAGTGAAGCCCGCGCGTGTGGTCTGTGGAGTAGACTGTGGTGCCGCTGCCACAGACCGATCCACGCTGAGAGTCGGCGCAGAGCGGCGTCGAGGCCGACTGGCCGAGTGACACGCGCGCGCTGCCTCAGGCGAGATCGCGGGCCATACTGATTGACAACGCATGGGGGAATACGTGCCGCGTGACGAGGGCCGGGGCGGGCGTGCACTGTGTCTGTGTGGTGTGGACATTAGGCTAGCACGACGCATTCGATTGGGTTCCAACTTCCAGTGGTGCTGAAACTGGGCAACGTTGCCATTGACACATTAGACAGTCGACATCATGTTTCTCGCTGTGACAATGATGATTTCACGAGGGGGGTTTCAGTGGTCAGTGCACTTCGGAGGTTATGTTGGACTAGGTCGGTGCGAGGCTTGCAACTTTCTTCTGTGAAGCTTATCAGCAAAATCGAAGTTGCCTTGTCCT